GTTGTTGTTGCTGCTGCTTCTGCTGCTGTTGCTGCTGCTGCAGCGTCACGAGCAGCAGCTGCGTCTGGCTCCCCAGGGGTGATGAGCTCTGCCCCAGCAGCAGCAGCGCAGCAGCAGCAGCATCAGGTCTGCAGCAGGACCTTACTCGCCCTTGCTGAGTCTCATCACCATCAACATCAGCAGCAGCAGCAGCACCATCAGCAGCAGCAGCAGCAGCAGCAGCAGCAGCGGGATTAAATGCTGCAGATGAACCTTCAAGCCAGGCAGCAGCATCTGCTGCCCAGGAGAAGACGTGGGGGGCCCTGGTGAGGCATCTCAGGCTATCGATGCAGCAGCAGATCTCTGCTCCTTTCTTTGCTGCTGCTGCTGCTGCTGCTGCTGTTGCTGCTGCTGACTGTGTTGTTGCTGCAGCTTCTGTTGCTTCTGTTCCTGCTGCTGCAGGTGCTGCTGCAGGAGCTGCTGCTGCTGATGCTGCTGCTGCTGCTGCTGCTGACGATGCAGAGAAAGACAGCGGCACAGGAGCAGCAGCTACAGCCCCCCTCAGCCGCCCCAGCTGTCTGTACACCTGAATAGAGAGAGGAGAGGGGCCCCGCGGGCAGAGGGAGAAGATGAAGCTGCTGTGTGCCGACGGCACCACGAAGTGCCACGCATCCTCTGGAGCATCTGTTGCTGCTGCTGCTGCTGCTGCTGCTGCTGCTGTCGCTGGTGATGATGTTGGTGATGAGTGCGCTGCTGCTGCTGCTGCTGCTGCTGCTGGTGCTGCAGCAAGAACGGTGGGAGGGGTGGCAGCCGCGGTGCTGGTGCTGCCGCACCTCAAGTCGCCCCCGTCTACAAGCTCACCCATCTGACACACGCTGCTGTTGCTGCTGTTGCTGCTGTTGCTGCTGCTGCTGCTGCTGTTGCTGCTCCTGTTGCTGCTGGTTGCGAGTTGTGCGAGGCGCTAGGGTCCTGGGGCCCCCATCCCGCTTACACGCAGTTGGCTTGACCCCTGAAAGTGTAGGTGAGGTGCCCGGGGCCCTCAGCCCAGCGGCATCAATGCTGCTGCTGCAGCTGCTGCTGCTGCTGCCTCTGTTGCTGCTGCTGCTCCTGCTGCATGTGCTGCTGCTTGTGTCTGTCAAGCTTGCTGCAGGAGGAGCTTCAGCTCTCCTCATGTCACCAGAAATTGGGAGACATCGCGCCGCTGCTGCTGCGAGGCTAGTAGGATAGCAGCAGCAACAGCAGCAAGACCAGCAGCAGCAGCGGCTGCTACAGCCGCTGCTGCTGCTGCTGCTGCTGCTGCTGTTGTTGTTGGTTGATAGCCGAGGCAGACGAGGCCTATTTTGACCCAGTGGTGATGGGAAAATGCTTAATTAACAAAACTAGAAGAGCGACGCGCATGCACTTTGCTGCTGCTGCCAGCAGCAGCAGCAGCAGCAGCAGCANCAGCAGCAGCAGCAGCAGCAGCAGCAACTGCAGCAACAGCAGCCGACACCACCGCATGCTGCTGGTGTTTGTGTTACTAACTTATCGACATTTAACAATTAATATAAACAATTTTAATTGAATATACACAAATTTATTTATCCTAATTCGGCTCTGCTGCAGCAGAAGGCAGCAGAAATGCCCCGTGCAGCATGAGTTTATTTGTTTTTAGTTTTTTTTATTTGTTTTTAGTTTTTCTGTTTTCTCCCCGGGTTGAGTCACCAAGTAGTCCATTAAACTATGAAATAAGCTGTACTAACATCTCCTCGAGCAGCAGCAGTTTGCTCTGTCCGCAGGAGATAGGGTTTAGTCTATAGTTCTTAGGGTTTAGGGTTTAGGGTTTAGGGTTTAGTGGTGCAAGTGATATGTAACAAAGGACCTCGGCCTCTGTATGAAACATACGTGAGCTGCGGCTGAGTCAAGAGAGTTTGAGCGAAACTAAAAAAAATTAAAATATAAACTAACGAGGCAATACACCCCGAGCAGCAGCTGTTTAGATTCTCTACAGTTCAGAGGCGTCATGGGTGCAGCAGCAGAAGTTGCTGTGGCTGCTGATGAGGGGAGAAGAGAAAGAGGCTGCGTGGGTTGCAGCACTTCTTGCTGCAGCCCAAGCAGCAAAGCCACCAAACATACAAGCAGGCTCAAGCCCCGTTGCTGCATGCTTGCCTAAACCCTAATTTTTTAGGGTTTAGGGTTTAGGGTTTAGGGTTTAGGGTTTGAACTAACACTGTAGAGAACTGTAATACATTTCCTTCGCTCCCCGGAGCCATCCTACCCCGCAGCAACAGAAACACACGGGTCACCTTCAGACAGATTCACCCTCATAAATATCACCATATAGTTTATGTTGAACACTAACGTAGATATATATCACCACACTAGCAACCACACTTTCTTACAACAGCTCAAAGAGCGCCAGAATTTCCCCAGCAAACGGCAGCAGCAGCGTCGCTGCAGGCAGCAGCTGAAGAAGTCTGAGATCCTGGATACACGTGTATCAGCTCGCTCATCGCCACACAAAAAAAAAATTATATTGCAGGGTATGGCAATATTACGGGAAATTCGAGTCGGTTTCTGCGGATCGAGTGTATGAAAGAACTCCTCAGGAGCATC